TCCCAAATGTTTTTAGATAAATAGAATGTATTAGCAATGCTGCTGCTATTAAGTTGCAAATAAAAGTGAGACAAAAAGAAAAAAATTAAGAATGTCTTTTCTCCTAACAGATTATTTCTTTGTCACTGATGGTATCGTGCACATGGAGAAATTAAGCAAAGTTATCTGTGGGCCCTGCTGAGAGGGTCACATAGCTTGGCAGTCATCATGGATGTGCACCGCGCTTGGCTTTCTGGAGCTGATTTTGTTCATGAAGTTTGTCCTCAGAGGTGTTGCATAACAGATGCTTAGGACTTGGGTGGTTTAAGAGGAAGCCCTCTGAGACTTAATCTTAAAGAATAATAATACATTTACTGTGCCTTTTCTAATTACATGGTTTCTGGGGTGATAATCCCATTTCTGTTATATTAACTCATAGAAAAAAAAATATATATATAGACTCTAGGACAAGCATGTCAAACTCAAAGGCTTTCATGGGCCAAATAAATGAGGCATATGACCTGTGGGCCATGCGTTTGACATGCCTGCTCCAGGGCAATGTTCTCTGGGGAAAAAAGTATTTTGGTTTCTGGAATTGTCATGTTAGAACCCTGTAGGCTAGGAATCTTGACAGCTTGGCCAGCTACTGAGGATACCGTATTCATGGTTTCCACCCTTCAGTTAAACCTATTTTAGCATTAAAATGTCAGTATTTATTTCTATTCTAAACTATTATTTGAAATAATAATAATTACTGCTCCCAACAAGGTCCTGCCTTTTAATTGGATGGTGCATCTTTCCTAGGTCCTTGTTTCTTTATCAGGAGGGGTCTAGTGGGCCAAAGTAAAGGTGGATTTATTTTTTTAATCTAAATACTGTAGCCAAGAAAAAGCCAATCTTTGCCTAACTGATGAATATCATCTCCTCAGAAGGTCTCACCTTTTCTGCTCCTCAGTGTTTACTTCCCTTTCTGTGATGTTTATATCCCCCATTATTCCCTGTGTAGGCCCTGGAGCCTCCTCTTAGCTCGTTCTTTCTTTTGCTGGTTGAGGATATTGCCACCACCCATGTTGGAGTCTTTACTGAATCTCACTGGGTTACTGCAGTGAACCCAACTGATCTCCCCGCCTCACGTCTCTCCTGATCCGTCCTCCGCGGAGCTGCCCAGTCCTCTTCCCACAGGAGGGCTGGGATTTGGTTACTCCCCCAACTAAACACACTTGAGTGCCTCCTTGATGCCTGAGGAATAAAGCAGAGCTCTTCTCGGCAGCCCTGAGGGCTCCCGCTGTCTGGGCTGCAGTCTCCTCCGCACTGGGGCTGCAGGGCAGCTGGCATGGTACTGTCACTACTGCTGAACTGTGCCTTCCCACCTTTGCCTACGGAAATGCCCCGTGTCCCGCCTGCTTTGGGACACCTTCCTTATGGCCCCACACAGGGAGTTTGTATCTCATATTCAGTGATTGTTTCCTACGCCTTCAGCAAACCTTCTGTAAGGATATATAGGGGGCAGCAAGAATAATTCGATGCAGCCCCCTGATCTCAGGTGTAAGTAGCTGTAGAGCTAGTCACGTGAACAATGATCTATAATATAATGTGTTACATTCTAAAATAGAGGTCTTGGCAAGTGCTGGGATTAGAGACTGTATGTAAAACACCTCGAAGGCAGGCCTCTTGGTATCATGGAGAGCTATTGGTAATGCTAGTTCCTCTTTTGTTAAATGTACTTATTAGTCAATTTCTCTCCTGCACTATTCCCTTGCAATATTCTAGTCTGATAAATCTGCTTTCCTTTTTTTTTTTTTTTTTTTTTTCTATCACTCCTTTCTTTGTATCTTTTTTGGATACATGGATAAGCAAGAAAAATCGGCTCTGTTTAAAAACAAACACACTTAATTGGACTTCACACATTTACTTTTCACCATTTTGAAAACTGTCAGTTGTATTTTTCAGGTCATGTATGTACCAAACACACAAATTCTTTTAACAATTGTTTTTCAGTAAAACAGACTGTTTTACAATGGCACCAGGCCTACCAACGGCATAGCGTCTGGTAGCTGGCAAGAGCTCAGTAATTCTAGCATGGAAAGAGAAAGCTGGCTGGCTCCTTATGCTGTTGCTCACACTGATATACTTAGATGTTCCCATTAAAGTTCTCCTCACTCGTCTGTCAAACTTAGTACTGTAGACAACCATCCAAGGCATCATGGAAGACGCCCCCAAAATGTCTACCCTCAACTGTTAGGCAAGTGGCCATTGCAAGCTCTGGGGAGAACGAGCTCTGACTCCGTTAGCCGTTCACCCATCTCTCTAGGGAGGACAACTGCAAGTGTGTAGCATCCCCGGGTCACTGTCTGAAACGTGAACAGTGCTTCCATGATGCGCAAGTCTCATAAGGGTAACATTTACCCTCTTAATGTGCACCTGATCGAGCAGAGTGACAGCATGAGGATAAAAGAGGAAATGTGGACCAATAGCCTGATTTAGCCTTTTTCGAAGCTACGCTTTAATCTGTGCCCAGATTGTGAGTAACTGTCTCGAAAGCATGTTGTGTGCAAGCCAGCCCCTCCTACCGTTCTCTGCCGGGATGCGGCAGGCACAGGCGGACGATGAAGTTTAACAAAAGGAAAACAGCTCTAGGAATCAGCGGTATGCCCGCTTCCCAGGAAGCAATCCCCTCCAAATCCTCCCTGTGTTTTTAAAGGTTGTTAGGATTTAGAAAACGAACATCTATCTAATAAGCCTTCTGCAGACTGGTCCCTGCCGCTGCCTCTGCTGAGGGCGTGCCATCCTGGCAGTGCACGGCAGGGGGGAAGTCTGAGCCTTTCACCAGTCGCTGGGCACAGGGCTATTGATCTTGGGCAGCAGGCAGGGAGAGCAGCCGGGGGTCTGAGGGGTGAGATGCGGTTGCAAATGGTCCTCTAAGTCACACCCAATGTGCTCTTCTGGGGAAGGTGGTTAGGAACTCCTGTTAGAGGATGTTTTTAAAGTTCATAAAAAGGTATTGGGGAATGTTTTTAATGAACAGCAAAGACTGGTATATAAACTGCTTATAAATTTGACTGCAGAAAATTTAAACCCAAGTATTAACTTGGAACAATGATGACACAACGAATGGACAGAATTGTTTTCTTCCAAAGAGGTGAATCTTCCTCAAAACTTCTTTCCGTTCTTCTCATTCCCAAATGATTTTTATTTCTGTTAGATTATTTCCAAGATATTAGTTAAGAGTTTAACTCAAGGACATTCATTTTTTATAGGGTAATTTATTTTTTGATCATTAGAGTGAAAGTTAAAGTGGCTAATTAGAGATACTTATGTGTATTTTTTACTATTAAACTGTATTTTTCTTCTGGGACTTACAGAATATTTATGAAGGCTATCTGGAGATACATGTAGACAGTGTACTCTGCACCTTCAAGTAATCATTTCACATTTATTCACAGTAATTCAGCAACATCAAAGGAAAGCTATGATGAACCATAAAGCTACTTGAAGCACTATAGCTAGTTTGAAATCACTGTAAGGAGAGTCATCTGCAGTTCAACCGAGTGATATTTGGGGAATATTTTTGAGCTCCTGTACCAGGAACAAAACAGGAATCCCATATAGAAGAGAGATCATACTGTATTGGTTCTTTTCTGTCTGACTTATTTCACGCAGCATAATGCCTTCAAGATCCATCTGTGCATGAATTTGTGCACTGAGCCTCTAGTTATTAATAAAAGGTTTTTCTTTTAATAACATTTCACCTAGACATTGTATAGTGTTATAATTTTAAAAGAACACAGATAGGAGTATTTTAAATGCTCCACTTAAATTAAAAGGAAGATCTGGGGGAGATAATAGATCAACCGAAAGACTTTTATACATACACATAAGTACAACCAATGGACATAAAACTCTGGGGAGGGAGGGGATGTGAGGGAGGGAGGGAGGGGGTGCAAAAAAAAAAAATCAAAAATATATATATATATTTAAAAAAAAAAAAAAAAGACTGAAGAAAGGACCTCTTTTCTACTATTTCGAATGCTTAATAGCTAATTTCATAACATCACATGTACCATTTTAAGAAAGTGATGATTTAGTGGGAAATTAATGCTTTGCATCTGTATACTGTAAATATAAATGATGATTTGTTTGAAATGTGTAACTAGGATATGCAAAAGATAATAACTCACAATGTTAATATTAAATATTACTTCAAAATAAAAAAAAAAAAATAAATAAATAAATAAATAATGCTCTCTTTAAAAAAAAAAAAAAAAAATGGATGACTATTAGTAACTAAAGAAATGCAATTAAATACATTCATAAAAGTACATTTTAAATGAAATTTGTATGTAAAAGATAATCCAGTCAAAATTTATAATCCTACCTAATAAAAGAAAAACATGCAAACTGACCATACCTTTGCTATGCCCACAAGACCTACCTACCAGCCAATCAGGGCAAACATGCAAATCAACCCAACCAAGACAGCGGTTAATTTGCATATCCAGGCCAGAGCGAAGACTGAAGACATGTAGAAAGAAGCCAAGCGCTTTGGAGAAGCAAGTGAGTGGGGCGGGGGAGAAGGAAGGAAAGCAGGTGGGGCGGGGGGAAGGGAGAGAAGCAAGTGGGGCAGGGGGGAGGGAGGAAAGCAGGCCAGGCGAGGAAAAGGGAAGAAAGCAGGCAGGCAGGGGAGAAGAGAGGGAAGCAGCGTGGCAGTGACTGCAGCAGGAAGCCCTATTGCAGGAATCTTCCAGCAAGGGGCATCTAGTATATACATATAAACAGACCTTTTTCTTTATAAAGAAAATTTTTAGCATATACTATAACATTCAGTTATGTAAGTATATACCTACTACATATATATATATATATATATACACATATAATATGCTTAGCACTCTGATTTAATCGACAAATATCTTTTATGCCATTAAAACAAACTGCTAATATTCTAAAACACAAGTTTTTGCATGATATTTAGCTCATACATTATGTTATACTGTATACTTATATTTATACTGTATACATACCACATCAAACTTCTGAGTGATGTTCCCCTGGACATCAAGTAAATAAACCTTGCCATAATGTGTGCCCAGTGCCAAAAACTGTAAGAACAACAAAGAGGTCAGTTTATTAATGTACCATTAAAACACAATTACTAATAAAACCATTTTCAAACTCAAGACTCTTAATGCATAAGTGATCTGTAATGCCTCAGAAGATATCAGTCCTCAGAGATGGTCTATTTTCAGCTGGAGAGAAATAACAGGACAGGGCCTACTTTATTGTGATAGTGCAAGCCAGCTGTCAGAATGACTCATGAGGACCCTCATCTGCTGACAACTAATGGTGTGTATGTGGTCTGTATACAATGCCTGATGGACTGAGGCAGCAAATTAAAATGCAGCTATGAAAGCATGACCAACCTAAGGTTGAACTCAAAGTCAGAAGGGAATTATTAAGCAACTCGCTTCCATTTGTGGCAAGTGTGTAAATTTGTGCTAACATTTAAATTCAACCTACATACACTCCAACAACAAAGTATTATTATTTTAGAAAGAAAAATCCATGCCATATCTAGAGATGAAAAAACTCAGATGTACTTATACTATCTGTTTAGCATTAGGATGCCTCTATAAAAATTAATGTATAATACTGAGTGTAAATGTTTATATTCTAATACAAAAATAAATCCTTTCTGTCACAAAATAACTGCTGAGTTCCATATTAATCTTACGATATGAAACTAGTTCATAACTCCGACTGCTCTTTCAATCTGCACTAACCTCAATAAACCAGAAGAAACTTTAGGACTACCTGATATAACATGAGATTTTTCTTCCTTTTTATTTCTTTACATACTACTCAGATAGTTCCAAAACTCTCTATTTCATTGCATGTAAGCATGCTTCATTGCAACCTATAATGAAATGCTCACATTTATAGGCATTACTAAGCATTTCAGTCAAGCAGCACAATCTTTTAAAAATAACCTTATAGAAAGTCAAGATTTAAAAAAGATTTATCAAAATGGAATTGCTTAAAACGTAATTTCAGTTCAGGCACTTAAAATACGAAGCCTCCTTAAAGAGGAGTCACAGGAAGGGAAAAGAAGGGGTTCATTGGAAATTCATCCCCAGCGATGCCTTTCACTCCTGCAAGGTTGCCTTTTTTAAAGAAGAAAAAAGTCCCCCGGGTAAGAAAATCAATACTGGTTAATAAAACATCAGATGTGCAGACATAACTAGGTATGACGATTCCGCTGCACGGGCCTGCCTGAATGCACCAGGTGCCATGCCGATTACTCATCCAGCGCAGACACAAGCCTGGTGAAAAGAGGAGGCCTGGGCCCTGGGAAGGGAAGGGAAGGGAGGTAATTCTGGGGGGAAATTGGTTGCGTTGCATATATAAACAAAACCAGGATGTTTCCTCCAAAACAAAAGAACATTCTCATTGGAAACAGAGGACTCAGATGGTTGTAATATTTTTCTCTACAGTGACACTCACCATATTTGAATTTAAAAAAAAAACCACACAATACTAACTAAAACCAAATAATACTCCATCTCAATATACCCCAAGTACTCTGAAGTACTGACTTCCTCATAAATACTGTATTTAGTCTGTTAGAAAACTAAGGTGGATTGGAGCCTTAAAACGTTTTACTACTAGGTCATTCTCTGACATCTCTGTGAAGGCCATATTTGAACTTCCAATTATATTTTATTTTATTAGTTTTAAAGGTTCTATGTAGGGTAATTTATCCAAACATTAATCCCTTCCCTTTTTCTTATTTTATTAATTACTAGTTTAATCCATTTAATATTTAAGATCTGAGACATAAAATAATTATTTTGATTTTATTGTTTAACTTAAAACTATAATTACTTTAGAATGTTGGGGAGGAGGGGGAGGAGTGGTTTTCATGATAAGCTAGTTTTGTTTACAAAAATATTTAATCATTTAAATTAGATAAATTACTGCTGCTCTCTTTTAAAATAACTTTATGTGCTTAAAAAAGAATCCAAGTTTGATAAGCCAATTGAGAGGTCTTCAAAAATTTATTTAACTATGAAAATTATTGATGAGGCATACTTACATTTGCTAATGCTTTTGACTTACTTACAATACAACACACCAGAAGGCAAAATTGACCACAAATCACAAATGTAAATACAAGTCCTTTAAATGTGACTATCTTTCCAGACATTAAAATTTGTAGCTATTGAAAAAAAAATTTTTTTTATTCTAAAAGCACCTCTAATCCAGGATGAGTAAAGAATAAATATATCTTTATTAGCCCCTTCCAGGTTTAATTACAGAAACTTGACTCATTTTATGAAGTATCAGATTGTGCACCCAATCCTTTTGAACACTCCCCTAACATAACTGCTTTTACTGGGCTTTTTGTTGTTGTTACTGTTTTGGTTTCCTTTTAAAATGTATTTTTATTGATTTCAGAGAGGAAGGAAGGGAGAGAGAGATAGAAACAGCAATGATGAGAGAGAATCATTAATTGGCTGCCTCCTGCATGTCCCATACTAGGGATTGAGCCGGCAACTCAAGCATATATGCCCTAGACCAGAATCAAACCCGGGAACCTTCAATCTGCAGGCCGACGCTCTATCCAGTGAGTCAAACTGGTAAGGGTGACTGGGCTTTTGTATATAAAAAGTAGAAGTGACAAGCCAGGAACTGGGTCAAAGTTGGGGAGTGGAGGACAAAGGCTCACTCCTGGGCTCACAGGGCAATAGTTGAAACTGCCTGGCTTCCGAAACTCCAATTATGACACATTTTGCTTTGGTCTAAGAATGATCTAAGGGTGCTGTACAGTATTTAGTCTGGACTCAGAAAGTTGGTGGGGGCTTTGTTACAGCAAAGACTCAGATGTGGAATAGATTAATTAACACATATAATATACATTGAGTGGCGAGGTTATTATGATCTCTGAACACATAATAATCTGGCCACTCAGTGTATGTGTGTGTGTGTGTGTGTGTGTGTGTGTGTGTGTGTGTGTGTATTAGAGGCCTAGCGCATGAATTCATGCATGGATAAGGTCCGGCCAGCCTGGCCAGGGTAAGGTGACATGGGCTGATATAGAGATGGTCGAACTCCTGATCAAATTCCTTTAAAGATTCCACAAACTATTTTTTAAAAAAAAATATATTTTATTGATTTTGTACAGAGAGGAAGGGAGAGAGATAGAGAGCTAGAAACAACGATAAGAGAGAGTCATCGATCAGCTGCCTCTTGCACACCCCTCACTGGGGATATGCCCGTAACCAAGGTACATGCCCTTGACCGGAAATGAACCCAGGTCCCTTCGGTCCCCAAGCCGACACTCTCTCCATTGAGCCAAACCGGTCTCGGCAGATTCCACAAACTTTAACAGTATATTGTGTGAACTCCTGGTTGAACTCCTGGTCAAGGGGACAATTTGAGTATCAGCCTTTTATTATATAGGATATACACTGAGTGGCCAGATTATTATGTGTTCAGAGATCATAATAATCTGGCCACTCAGTGTATATGTAAAAATGTGGGGTCATTCTACTGATTCCTAATACCTCAACATAATCCCTTCTACTCTTATAAAAGCATTGAGTTCTACACTATTTCTAATCTTAATACTTTTCTATTCTACTACTTATGATTTGAGGAATTAAGTGATAGTCTTTCCAAGAACCACTTACTATAAATCTTGTACATCCAACCTAGTCTAAATTCTACTTAATACACCATTACAGTGTGCTCTCTCTGTGTGTACAAATACATACATACATATACATATATATATATATATATGTATATATATATATATAATTTTTTTCATCATTGTTTGGATTTTTTGTGGTGAGGAAGAAGAGAGGAAGAGTGGCAGAAGACACAATTACAGTGAAAAATCACCACTGAAAGCATCAGGACTCCAAAGGATAAGCAAACTTGACTTACACAAGAATCACCTACAAGGGTTCCCTTACCTTGTCATGGACTGTCATGCAGCTAGCAGCATCCTTTTGAAGGATTTCAGTTACCCCATTGGAAAGCCTTTCATACTTAAGTTTGGGTTCCTCTTCACTCTCTTCTTCCTGCACAGAAAGCAGAGAAAATGACAGTTGCCATGGATTTATCTGTCCAAGACTCAAAATGTATTTCTTAAGGGGAACCCAGAGATGGTTCCCTCAGTGATCATCGATAACTACAGCCATAGCTCAAGGTAAGATCTTCATGTTTCACTTTCCCAACTAGGTGTATCAACTGCTACAATCATGCTGGTAGAATAATTTCAAAAGTTGAAAACATGATTACACACATAAAGTTAATAGTAATCCACTGTGGCAATATTAAATACAAAACTGTCTGACCCACTCTGCAGACATATGTCAAAGAGTCAGCAAAATACCTGTCATTATGACCTGGTCACAAAGACTCATAGCAGTAAGACAGGAATATAATAAACCTCTAAAGAACAGTATTATATTTCAAGAGTATTAATATTTTTGTCAGATTTGAGAATATCTTAAATTAGAAAACATAATCACAAAAACAAGATCAAAGTAAAAGAAAATTGTAAATTTTATATAAAACAAAATGTATTCTTCCCCTTCAGATAAAAAATATTTTAATATTTCTTTTAAATAACTGGTAATCCATGAACAATCATTATTTATTTAGTTTATGTTAGAAAATATTGTTTACTCTCATATAAATAAATCTACATATGCATTAAAATTTCTTAACCAGCCATGGCTGGTGGCTTAGTGGTTGAGTGTCAACCCATGAACTAAGAGGTCACCAGTTCAATTCCCAGTCAGACACATACCCAGGTTGTAGGCTCAATCTCCAGTAGGGGCACAAAGGAGGCAGCCTATTAATGTTTCTCTTTCATTGATGTTTCTACCTCTCTCCCTTCCTCTCTAAAAATCAATAAAAATATATTTTAAAAATATATTATACATATTCTTCAGATGAGGATTAACAAAATAATAATATAATAAAATAAATTTCTTAATTATTTTATATGTAACATTACTAACTTTATATGTTTAACCTCGGTGTTGAAACAGCATCATAAGATATCCTGAATTCTCATAGTAAGTTAGGAAATCTCTAATGACTATAATGGCCATTAATTAACAAATCAAGGATAGTTATAAAAATTACTACAGTGATTCCGAAAAATATTTTACTTTATTGCATTGGTACGTAATGAGAAACCAAACAATGTGGGTATATCAATACTTGTGATAGGATAAAGCTGGCCAAAACAGAAGTTCACAAAAATCATCTACTCATGGGCTACAGGGAAGATATCAGCTTGGGTTGCAACCATCTGAAGGTTAAAATGGGGTGAGAGTATCAGCTTCCAGGGTAATTCATTCAAACAGCTGGCAGGCTGGTGCCAGCTGCTGGCAGGAGGCTTTACAGTTCCTTGTCTCATGGACCTCTTCTCGGGACATGACAGGTGACTTCCCCCAGAGTAAGTGATCCAAGAGAAAGCAAACCGGAAGGTCAATGGTGCATACGACCTCGCCTCAGAGTTCGTACACTGACACTTCAACGGTATTTTATTGATCATACAGGTCAGTCATGATTCAGAGTGAGAAGGGAGGACACAAACACAGGAATAATACCAGGTGAGGATCACCGGAGGCCATCGTGTAGTCCAGCTATAGAGTAGTAATTATATTTTAAAAGCAATAAACCTGATTTAAAGAAATCAGTATTCCACGCATATGATGAGCTGTCAGATTTTCTTCTCCGTGTATATATTGTTTATTTAGTTATAGTGTTAAAATCAAAACAATGCTAACTACTATTAGTTTTGCAAGAATAACTTTAAGAACTAATAGCAACAAATGGACATATAATAAGCACGGTTATCTAAAAGACCAATACTTTCTTTAAAAAGTAACTAATGATCATCAGCCCAACCCAAGGAGCTTTACAAGTGATCTATTATTAAAATATGAAATCGTTCATTAACCAAGTATAAAGAACCTAGAGAAAAAAAGGAGAAAAGAAAGAACCTAAAAAAAAGGAAAATCGCAAACAAAGCAACAAGTAAACACTTCTACTTATGTACTCACAAGCAAGAAACAGAAATCATTACGAAGTTAACACTAAATGTGGCAAAAATGATGTGTGCATTCTGAAGTAAATGCATTAAATGCAAATTGAATCCTGAATGGTAGTCTTTATAATAAGATGCCACATGTTGCTCTAGTCTGGACATCAAATGTGCATCTAACGTGAAAAGTTAATTCTAGCCTCTTGACTATTTTGCATAAAAGCACTCATCCACGGACCATTAGATAAAGTTACTGTAAATAAGGTTTGCCTGTTTTATTTATAAGTGAAAACTAAAAAATTCCTTTCACATAAATATATAAAAATAAATACTTTCACAACACAGTTCACCGGAGCATTCGTGCCAGGCTTCAAAAACCATAAATAAAATGAAAATTCCAATATTAGGCACTTGATGTAGCATTTCACACTTTCCTGACAGGTATCTTTTATGTTAAGTTAAAAGCAGGCTAACGGTGAATTTTTAAGGTTTTTTTTTTCTGCTTGCTGTAAACAAAGGAAATGGAAAGTGATTCAAAAATACAATTCACAGAAGTTATTCTACTGCTGCAGACTATATATCACATTTTAAATAAATTTTTTTTAAAAAAATCAAGCGGATTTATATAGAGTTTCACTTTTTAAAAAATTAAACACACAAAAAAGACTTCTGTACAACTTGAACTTTCAAGGAAAAACATCCAGGGTTAATAAAAAACAAATCAAAAATTTTTTTGAAATTTTCATAATCGGGCAAACCTACAAATAAAACCATCAACAGTGGTGAGTTGGGATGACAGTTAACTGCGTTTCTATGACAACCTAGTGGAGCAGTACAAGTCCTGAGCTGCAGCTAAGCAGAGGTATGAGCAGAGTGACATTTACCCATACAAGAAAAATTTGCAGCTTTCCTTTAAAAAGAATCAATTCTTCAACAAACATGGACTTTCACTCAGAGTATAGCACTTTTAATTCAAGACAAGTCCTTTAAACCACTGCACAGGATTCTAGAACACTCTGAAAATAAATTTCACATCACAGTCATTCTTACTGAATTTTGAACTTAAAGGCAGAAAAACAAAACTAAACTTAAAACAATAACTTTTGGGATAACAAATTAGGGCAAGCCTCTTATTTTGTTACCAACATTAAAGGTACATTTGCATGGAGGGAGTCCTGTCACCTAACTTAGATGGGTATACCAATGAGAATACAGCCCTTGTCACTTGATAATTTCAAATTCAGGTATAAATTTTTTGGTGTGTGCAACCAATTTTTCATTCTGTTTTAATGTTATCCATACCTTCATACTGGTACATTTTATAAACCATTACAATCCAACTGAATGCTTGGATTTTATTTTATTTTTTTAATGTGTGTCACATGAATTCTGGAGGTTAACAAAAGGATCACTACATTTTCTATTGTTACGATTACTATATAGAACTTAAAATTTTATTTCTGGATATTACTAATTAAAATCCAATTTTGTCTGGCTTTATTTCCCCCTCCCCCCCAAAAAAAACCCTCACAAAATTACACTAGACTCGTGGTTGGCAAACTATGGCTTGCCAGCCACATGCAGCTCTTTGACCCCTTGAGTGTGGCTCTTCCACAAAATACCACAGCCTGGGCGAGTCTATTTTGAAGAAGTGGCGTCAGAAAAAGTTTAAGTTTAAGAAATTAGGCTCTCAAAAGAAATTTCAATCGTTGCACTGTTGATATTTGGCTCTGTTGACTAATGAGTTTGCCGACCACTGCACTAGACTGAAGAGGAGAGGTAAAATAGATACAAAGCCCAAGTTAGTGAAAAATACCACCAACTGAGCACTCCTAGACAATTCACAATTGATGGCTTTTATCCCACCCAGCTTCACCTGTGAGAAAGATCTCAACTGAACCTCTAAGAACTTTAATAAGGCGATTGATTGGTTTCCTTGGTCTCGTGCCATAAACTACATCTCACCAGGGACAAATCCTTTTAATAAATATCCAGTATTTTTAAAAATATATTTTATTGATTTTTTACAGAGAGGAAGAGAGAGGGATAGAGAGTTAGAAACATCAATGAGAGAGAATCATCGATCAACTGCCTCTTGCACGCCCCCTACTGGAGATGTGCCCGCAACCAAGGTACATGACCTTGACTGGAATCGAACTTGAAACCTTTCAGTCCACAGGCCGATGCTCTATCCAATGAGCCAAACCAGTTTCAGCAAATATCCAGTATTTTAAAGCTAGACATAATAGGGAACACTCACATACTAAAAAAAAAAAAAAAAAAACCTTCTTAAAAAATTCAATTTAAACATTTTCACACTGAAAAAACAAGTATTAACAAAAAGTGGATTAATAATCAACCATGAATAGAAAGGTATAAAATAAAGTCTTTCCTTCTCTAGAACATTCTCTATAGAATTCTAATTACCTTAAGGAGAACTGAAATATTCAAAATTGGTAGTTAACCTTCTAAGTTTAAGAAACAAAAAAAGCTATCAAAATCTAATATCAGAACATTTCAATTTTAGAAAATTTACATTTTAAATAATTCTCTTCATTAATCATAGCCTATAACATATTAAAATATTTGTTTTTATTACTATTAGAAAAGATAAAGGGAGAACAAAAAACACACACACCAAACCAGACACAGTTGATATCAAATACAAATAAGACTTTTTTTAAGTATAACTGAAATTATACTGTAAGTCATCAAAACATACAATTTGAGTCTCAAAAAACACAACTAACAACATTTTTAAAAGATCTATTCACTATATTATCAACAAAGTAACATAAATACTCAAAAACTACAAATCATTGTATCAATCACATATAATTAAACATTTATATGAAACTATAACGGTATCAATAAATGTACATGGACAATACAAGACATCTCCAAGTATGCTATACCAATCTTGAGCCTTTCCAGAAAAAAAGCTCTATGATGAGAAATACTGTATAAAAATATAAAACGCATATGGTTAAATAAGTGGTCTTCAGCAGGAGGTGGTTT